CACACATGCAAAGTACCGTAAATTAATGTTGCAATAATAATAATCTTTCAAATCTGCCAAGTGTTGATATCTCTCGAGAGACTTTCGAGGGAAAAACACTAAGGAAACTGTGTGAGGCTACTATGAACGCTAAGAAGAGAAACGGTAGTGTGTCGCAAAAGGGCAGAGGAATATATCAACCAGATTGAGGGATATTTGTCATGCCACTAGTAAAGTACATTCGGATATGGCGGCTGAGTGAATGCAAAGCGCTGTTTATGCGGGACGCGATGTTTTCGATTCCCCGAGATTTCAGATACTGTCCGGTGAAGAAACGATAAACGGAGCTCGAGTACCCGGTAAATAAGAAAAGTTGCAAGAAACGTCGAGATGGCTGACCTGACGGTCATCTATCATTGTTACGCCGGAATTGTGTTCGGAAATAAAGTTCAGATAGCCGGAACTTACGGATCGCTAAATCTCTAATGGCTGTTCGCGTGCCGGCTTCCGAATTAGCCCGCGAATTCCGCGAGAGTTTAATCGAGAAAGTTAAGCCGTTAAAAATTATGCGTATTCGCGAAAACGATCGGTGATAAATTTTAACTTTCTATTCAACTTCGATTCTCATTTGACACAATAAGTGGACAAGAATATAGTGTGAAAGTACGATAAAAGATGTACTACTTTAGAAGTGTTCTAAATTAGCTTATTGGAGTGAATTCCAAGTTGCATTCGTGTTCATCGAGTTAATGAAAATCGTCTTTCAACATATGCATGATTCGAATAAGAGATGGCGTGTACGTTTAGATTCATTCTAATGTTACTCGGTTTTTTTTTTTTATTACGATGTCAATAATTCGCGGAAATCCGAGACTTATGAAAAATTCCGAATAACGAACGTAAAATCATTAAGACAGCGCAAACAAGAGAATTCGAGGTCCGTAAGAATTAAAGGGCGCGCAGTAAAAAGAAAGAGAGGATAAAGGAGAAGAGAGAGCAGCAGCAGTTTGACGTATCCGAAGCTGCGCACACTCAAAGAGATAAGAAGAGATCGGGAAATGCAAAAAAAAGCGAGAAGCGAGAAATTGTTTATCGGGGAGCTGTTTTCGCCGAAAAATCAATGTAAAACCGTAACACGATTACGTCGATGCGGCGCCGCATTCTTTCGTCGAATAAACGACACGCAACACACACATCTTTCCCCGACATATATAAATTCGACGGATTATTATTGCGGTTATCGTCGGCGACGTTCTGGAAGACGTCACACCGCGGGAAAGTTTCCCCCCTCGTTCAGCCGGGCTATCAGGAGGGTCAAACTCGGGAGAGGACTTTGTTCGGATTTTTCTCCCCGAGGAAAAACGACGGCTGCTCGTTGGGAAACTGATATCGTATATCTGACGCGAGGAGAGGCGGGGCTGAGAGTGACCCTCGCCAAAGGGAGAACCGGTCTTTGTGCGGTTATTATAAGCCGCCATTCACGTCGATACGACGACGACGAGGCGCAGGAGCGAAACGAAAACGGAACGGTTGTTGCTCGCGCATCGGCTCGTTATCGGCGAAGCTCGGGTATTTTCAACGCGCCGAACCGCGCGAGAGTTTCTCGCCGATGTCGACGTTGCAACTGAGGAGAGTCGAGCCCATCTCGCGACGGTTTACTCATAAACCGTTGAAATAATAAGCGCTTGGAGACCGGAGACACGGGACTTGAACTTGCGAGTAAGAGCCCGGCAAGATTGGGGGGAGGGGGGGGGGGGCGTACAATGGCTTTCGTATCGGTGAGTTTTGATGAAAGTTCGCCCGGTGCCGCGGAATTTCTTAACTGCCGCGCGCAACCGCGAGATACGACCGCAGGGCAGATTGCATCTGCATCTCGCAGGGAATTAAATGTCAACGTCGATGGTTCCGCTTGGACGAAGTTCGCGCTCACCCGAGTAAGGTAAGTGCAGCGCCACGCTCGTCCTCGAAATGCCTGATATTGTCTTGGAGGTACTTTAGATTACGGTCCCGTCTGTTACACGCGACCGAAAGTTATCGTTCTCACGAGCGGATGCAAGATGCATCGTAAATCATTTCGAGACGCTGTTTATCACTTTAATTAACGTGTTCGGCACCGCGTGACACCCACGCCGGGAACTTTCCGCCCAGACCACTTGATACTTTGGCAGCAAAGCGAAACGTAATCGCAAAATAGTTTTAATACTTATTGCACGACACGTGTTATTCGACAGATCAATGCGGTTCGTAATATGGCAACGCGAACGACAAGTAAATTTAGCGTTGCAAGAACACGTTAAAAGATATGAGACTGCACTGAAAGGAAAAAGTAGTATATTCAAGTAAATATTGGAGCGATTATCTTGCCTGGATTAAATAAATATTATTTGAATGTAGCGTTTTTCATTTCTTTCAGTGTGCTACATTCAAGTAATATTTAATTGATTCAAGTAAAATAATTATCTGAATAACCCCTTGGCAAATATTCACCCGAGTGTACGTGTGTGTGCAGCACGTTTTTCTTTTAATAAATTATTTCCACGATGGGAAATTATTTATGAACACAGCGATGTTCGGATTTTTCTTTCGACGAATAATAAAAATAAATAATTTCTCCAGTCATGTGTATTACGACGTCAGAGACTATCGTTCTTCGAAGCGGCTATAAAAAAGCGGAAGAACACGTGCCAAGAATATTATCTTTTATTTCCAGTCTCTGCGTGACGATTCGTTCGCGTATACGGCCCTTTAAATTTGCGGCACGCGTGTATCGCAGCGAGCACACGGCACGGTCCAGGTCGCACTGCGCATGCGCGAGCAGGAGCAACGACCATGCGGTCAGAGTGACCACGTGGCCGAGCGGTCAGCTGACGCAGCGCGGGAGTGGGAGCAAGGCCGCTTACGCCACGTGACGTAACGCGGCCTTGCCCTCTTCCCTGCGTTACGGAGGGGGGAGGGGGACTCAGCAAGTGCCACTGATTCAACTCCGGCGACGTTAAGTTGATCGAGAACGCGGTTTGATGTAAACGTCGATATTTTCTCTTCTAGGAGTCGTAGCGAGTTTTGAAACGAAAAGCACCGGAAAGCTGAGATTTCCGCCATTCTGACTGATAGTTTTCAAGTTTCGGAGAAAAACCAATTCTCCCGGATTTTCTCGCAAATTCTTTCATTTCTCATTTTCTTTGCTGAAGAAAAAAAAATAAATGCAGCAGATTTAACCGAATTTGGGAACAACCGGAGGTTTTTTCCGAAACTTTGAAGCTACACTTGACAGATGCTCGTTTGCTTTTCGTTTGCTTCCTCGATAACGTAACGGTTTAATTGGATGAAATCAGATTATCGCGATCGAAAATGTCAGTTGTTTCATCACAAGTTGGAGAGAAGATCAATCCATGATGGAAACAGAAGATTTCGATTTTTAATACTGAAACATGAGCGGAAGAAAAATAATAATACTTTCGCTGTCGAATGAATAAAACTGAAAGTTAAAAATTAAATAAAAAGTAAATGAGCACTTTTATTCATCAATAAAAAATAATTTAAAAATTAATCGGCCCGACGATTTTATTAAAAGCGTGAATCTTCCAATATTTCAAAAAACAAAATTTCCTCTCGAGAACGAAATTACAACGCACGTAATTATCGATGTCCTTCCTGGCAAGTTCCGTAATGAATTATTGGAACATCACGTCAAGGATAGCACGCGCGCTATTTCAAGATCAAACATCACACAAACGGTGAACTTTGAGTATTGGGAGATGAGGTGATTCATTCTTTGAAGTCCGACACGATGGGAGTTGAAAAGTCGCGCGCGTTGGGCGCGTCGAAGGATGCTCTCTCTCTCTCTCTCTCCATCCCCCCTCCTTCCCTCTTCACCATGGCGAATCATAGCCGCCCTGGGAAGACTTTGATCAGTGATGCGTTGCCAAACCACCTCACAAAGCACGACGTTAGACAAAGCCCCTAGATTTTATCCGGCGTATTCGGGTCAGATGTCGAATAGCCATTCGCCGGCTGGATATGGCGCGTCATACCTTTAGCGAACCGTATTAAATTACCGCCGGGCACACGGTATAAACACACACACATGCACACATTCTCCCCGGTCAGGAATATCCGGATCGCGCTACAAACGGAAGCTCGATGCGACGTGAACCACTTCTCCCGAAGGATTTCTCGTCGAGCTTGCGCGATTATGGAGCGGCTCTCCGTAAAATCGGACGCAGTTGCTTCGCCGCGCCTCATTTACAAAATTGTACCGCAAAACGTCCAACGTTCATAGGAATGTCTTAAAGCGAAGGACGCCAACGTCGTGCTGAAATCCAGCGAGAAACGAGCGCGCGAATATTCACCTGCCGCTACTCGAGAGCTGCAGAAAAGCTGCAGCCGTTTCGCGAGATATTTCTGATAATTGCGGGGACTTCAACAATGCCGTAGGTATCGTTGAAGATGCGAAGTGGAGCCGGGAATGCGGATTCCCGATCGACGGGTCGACCGAATCTAAGAGTGGTCCGAGAGAAGCACGCGAATTGAGGCCCCGGGGGAAGAGATCGCGGTCGCCGCATTTATCGAGTGTATAATGGGATGTAATGCGGTTCGTTCTCTCGTGCTTCCGGGATGAAAACCCCCTATTTTATCGCGCTACGTCTCAGTGCATTAGTCCGCCGGCTGAGCTTTTTCTCCTGTCCCTCTGTGCCCTACATTGAGCGGCGCGTTTCCGGCAAATTTCCAATTTCGACGGTCGATTGAAGTTCGCGCGAGCGATATTTCTGCGTCGTGACGGGAGCACTGCGGCTTTTCGCGATCACGCCTCGAGAACGCGCGATGAATTTCATTATTACGGATGATGATCGCGTTTAATCACGCGGAATGATCGACGTGCGACGAGCAACGTCGCGCGAACGTGTGCGCTCCTCGGGAATACCCCCCCCCCCCNCCGGAGAGTACAGTCGTTACATGGCTCGTTACAGTATCGGCCGCGCATCGTAAGAAAACGATCAAGTATGGGGTTAGGAGAGACTCACCTTAAAATCGATGTAGCCGTTTTTGTCCATGTCGAATGTGCGGAAAACGTGGTCGCAGAATTCCTCCGCGTTGCCGGACGGGAAGAACATTTTGTACATGTCGACGAACTTCGCCGGCGTTAACCTGCCGTTAGGGCAGTCTTGCTGTAACATTCCAAAAGCAAATGCGAGATTGTAAAGAGAATTGATAGAGCTTTCGTAACTTACGAGAATAAATCTGATTAGAAGAATAATATGCGTTTGTCTGAAATTGTTTTCATTTTTCATTACCGAACCTTCGACAGCTTTCAATTCATTGTCTCTATTATCGTACCAATGACAGATCGCCAATTATCGCGGCACATTCCTTTTTCACATTTTTCTACGTTTTGCCGTACACCTCGCGAGATGTATAGTCACGACTACAATGCTGCGCGCGAGGAAAGAAGTCCGAACGCGTATCAAATATGGAGGTATCCAATACGTCAGAGTAAATACCTCGCTGAAACACACACACACACACACACATCGTACACACACGTCGCCCCTAAATTGAGCCATTGGACCAAAACGAGACTTTCGTTCCCCGTGAAAAATTCCATCGATCCGAGGAGAGACTTCATCCCGGCCCCGTCGGTCGTACGCGCGGCAGTTCGAGCGGATCGCATCATTTTGGCATCACAACGCCCTCAAACGTCAGATCCTTAATCCAGTACGCCGCTCGTCTCAACCCTTTTTAAAACGAGCGATATTTTTCAATCTCTCCCCTCCGGCCCATATTTCTCGGCTGAAGCCGATACGCGCCAGCGATCAGTCTCCATTTATTTCAATCCGAACCGGCGAAGTCGTGTGTGATTCATTGCGGGTCGTGCCGAACGGCGAGAAACGCGACCGGACTGCGGAACCGTCCGGTTACGGCTCCGCTTAGTTTAATTAGTTCGGGCGTCGCGGGTTCGGCTGGATTCCCGCCAACGTTTAAATCGCCGACCGGGGAAAGTAAATCGCACAACTTTTCCGCGGTGCCGCGCCTTCCGTTGGAAACGTCACGTCCCGCTCGCCGCGAGACTCGTCGAATGCGCGAATCTCGTGTCCCGCTTGGGACGAATATATTCGCCGAACAAATGTCGCGCGTACCGAGCGGACGAAATCCGGCGAATTCTTCCATTTTATATCAAGTGCTTGCAAATTTTGAAGCTTTTCAAAACTATGAATCGTCCGATTCCGATCCGAAGTGGCTAACGTTTAAAAGCTAAGAAACAACTCGGAGGAAAACCGGTTACGAAGTCGCTGGTACAGCCATCTATTCGCGATCTTACGAGCTTTTGCAAGCGCCTGATATAATTTTCCACCCGCACTTCGCATCGTTTTATATCGCGGTTTCACTCTCTCGCGCTGACTTCGCCTCGTGCTAACTTCGTTTCGCCGATGCGGAGCCGCGAATGAGCTGATTTACCGGCGCGTGCCACGCTTGCCGTATGAAACGCGCGGGCCCTCTTATTTACGCAGTTTCGCAACCGTGAACCTTCGTGTGACTTATAACCGTGCGCTCTCCGCGATACGAGGCTGAATTCGCCGCGACGAGGAGCCGCTTCTTCGCGTCTGGCCGCGCATACGAGCGTGCTCGCGCGGACGAGAGGGCGGGTAAGCATCGTGCCGCATGTTTAATGCGGCATAATTGGCAGGTACGAGCGCGCATTTTATTCCAACTGCCTTCGTATTACGGGCGCTCGTGTATTTATTAACGCGTATTCGCATTCATTCCATTCTAAACTTTAATCGGCCGAATCCGACTCGGACTCGTAAACTGGTCGGTTTAAACCGCAATCGCTGTAAACAAGCTTTACACAGCCGTATCGATTAATCCGCTGGTTATCACCCGTCGCGTTTCAACGCGTCATCGAGAGAACCGCCCGTAGTTTCCCGTGCATTCTCGTTCGCATATCGCGCGACCAATTGACGCATGACCCCCGCGATACTCACTTTAAAGCCTTTGTACCATTCCTTTATGGTGGCTTCGTCGTATCGCGTGTGCGATTTGAGGAAGTCCATGTCCTCTTTGCTCAGCTTGTCCTTGCTCCCGAAACAGCCCATTTTGACGCCTGCAACAACAAACAGGCAGAACCGTTCCGTGAGTCGCAGATCATGCGAGATCCTTCGGGAAAGAATGCTTGCGCGAGAAAAAAAGAAAAGAATCAGCCGCCGAAGCTGAAAACTAACCGTCCATATAATACCGAACTTTAACCTGGAACTTCAACCTTCACCAGGCCTTAACTTTCAGCTGTGGGAGCTCATTTCCTTCTTCTCCGTGCGCGAAGTGCGCGTAGAGAATTTACTCCCGCAGTTAAAAGCTGGGTCTGCTAAACTAAATTTCAGTCGTATTATATGGACAGCTAATTTCTGCAAGGTTATTCTTTTTTTCCGTTTTACGTTTATTTTTCGGAAGAGAGTAGATCCGTGTTGATCTATTTTCGCCTGGCACGTCGTTCGTCGTCGAAGCGAGAGCGATCCAGCGACGTTCCGGCGGATATGCGCGGAAAACTGTGCATTTTTCAGAAACGACGCGAACCCCCGATCTCAGATTCCGCACGGATAATCGATCTCGATCGCACTCGCTATCGCCATTTTCGCAAGCAATAAAACTTTCGGCCGCGCTCCTTACGAGCCTCCGAGCCAGTCTTGGCGCGCGCGCCGCGCATATTAATGCGCCGTGGAATTATGTCAGCGGCATTGAACAAGTTAAGACCGTAAAATAAGTTGGACGGTACAGTCGGATGTCTTACACGTCCCCTAACTTTATCGTACCGCAGGCTCCGCCCTATATTTCATCAGGCAAAACGCTCGCGTATTCCATCCCGACGAGGACGACGGCGAGAGGATCGTCGATTCCTCCTTTCTTCCCACGGGATGGTTTCGACACGGTTCGCTCGATCGGCTCGCATCGAGTAAAACAACATCGCGTCCGTCGTGTGAAATAATGCCGCTTTACGTCGTATAACGCCAGCAAAGTTCCGTCTTAAAGCGCAGGAGAGAAGTGATATCGCGACGATTATCGCGCATCGGATGGAAAACAATTATTTTCAAATCTCACGAGTTACTTCACGTCGCTTCCTCGCTCATGGCTGCGCGAAAATCGCGACGAATATGTGATGTAAGAAGCCTATTAGCGTAATTCCATTATGGCGTTAAGTGCGAGGGACATGCTCCCTCTTTTTCTTATGAATATTATATCCATCGTCGCGCGGCCGCGCGTTTCAGCAACGAGCAAGATGGAATTTTAATACGTTAATTTCCCCGGGAAAAAAAAAAGAAAGGGAGACAAGGCGCGCCGGGCTCTTCGTCGTAAAATGAGCTTTTAATTCCTCCGTGAAAGGGGAAACCAAGAATTAAAAAAAAAGCCCATTTTCGCCCGCGATACGCGTGCAGTAGAAAGTACGAAAGTAATATTCCGGAGCGGCGGATCTCTCGGAGGATCTCGCGAAAATATACATAATTGATACCCCCACGCGACGATTTGTAAGTACGGCGGCTCTCATTGCGACGGTATAAGCCGATGATCGCGATAACGGTTAACCGGAAGTGCTCGCCCGTGATAAGGGAACCGTACGCAATTTTCGCGATATCTCCTCGGCGGCCTGTTTGCACCGGCACACGCGATGCACGCAATGCACGCCCGTCGGTTGCGGCCGAAAGCCGACGTTAGCCATGACTGGGAGGGATATCGAAACGAAACGCGTGATCGTGCTGACAATGACGGCCGCCAAACACGGGCATATACGTGCGCGCGCTTCACGAAGGAGAGAGAGACGCTTTCCGAGAGGCTCTCAGGATCAGGGTTAATCCCTATCGCGTTACGACATCCGCCGGGAATATCTTATCGCAGCGAACCTCGTTTCGCCCCCCCCATCCGGTCGTAGTAATAATTTATTTCGCGATCATCTTTCAATGCCGATTTTCCCCCGATTTATTTGACAGCGGCTGCCATTTATCCGGAATGGATGTGGGTTTTTCGCTACTCAGAATGACGATTTTCCTTCTGTATACGATAAAGTGTGAGCTTTCATATTCCCGAGAATCGTGGATAAATTACATTGATATGTATTTTAGGCTAATTTTATTATCACGACTATTTACAGGATTTTGGTAAAACAGTTTTTAATGTCATAAAAAACAAGACGAAAGGGATGAAAGTAATTTGTGACGAGAAAAGTTTTCTTTATGAATTTTAAGATGTTTTCTCTCTGTGTCTGTTATTAAAGTGTAATTTCACGTTTTCATTTCGTTCGTTTGATCAAGTTTAGGGTCGAGGGAAATGTTTGGATTGCTGAACAGCGACGGGTTCAATATCGTTGGGACGGGTTACCCTTTGCGGGCAACTTCGGTTCACCCTCGACAAAGAGATTTATAATTAAACGTGACTAAAATTACGCGGACAGCTAGCGGGTAATTTTAGCCGCGAAATTTAATTATAAATCCGAGAGTAGATAAAAGATAGCCTCGGGGACGGAAACGGGGACGGGAACGGGATAACATCTGATAATACGCTGACTCATTTGAAGCCCACTTGGCGGTGTCGCCGTGCTCAATATTAAGAGCTCAAGAGCCGTATTAAAATAACAAATGACAATTTCCCGGGCTCGACATTCTTAAAAAAAAAAACTCTTTTTATACTGCTACCATCTTAACTTCATCAATGAAGCTTACAACCCCGCCGGACTGAGGGGACAAGAAGCTGCGAGAAGGGAGGGGGGGTCACACGTAACGGTAACGACGGAAAGATGAAGAAAGAATCCCAGACTAAAAGGGACCGGACGATAGTAGGACTCTGTATACGACGGAGTAATGGGACGAGGATTAAGGAAGGATTCAAGGAACCGTTAGAGCTGAAAAGACAGTCTGTAGTGATGGAACATCGCGCGCACGAGCGAACATCAGCGGCATCCTTTCCCAGGGATTACAAAAATGTTATTTTCTTCTTTCGGGCTGTAACTTACACAAAGCCCGTCCTCATCTCCCGGTCCTTCGCAACGATATCTCACGTACCCGGTTCACGAGCGAGTTCTCCTCCGGCCTCTTTCAAAATTCGACGATCGTTCCCCGCGACCTCCCGCGGCATTTTCCGACCGTCTCGAATTTCCCCGACGTCTCCCCCAGTTTCCACGATTCCCTCGCCGGCAGCGGCGGCGCGGACGCTGCCTGGAGACCGCGGCGACGACGGGAGAATTAATCGTTGCGTCGGCGTCGACGCGTCAGCGACGTTAATGTCGTAATGAGCGGTCGATACGCAGGCGGAATTATGAGAAACGTTCGCCTCGTACGACCGAACGCCTCTCCTGGGGTGGAGGGGGAGAGGGTCACGTTCGTGACCAGCGTTAAAAACGACCGGCGGGCAGTTCGTGGTCGGACGATTTAATGGCCGGCCGACACATCGCTCGTTCGGAAACGTCGCAAAACGCAACACGTAAACGTAATTAACGCGATGCCGCCCTTTGTGGCGGCGTCGGTGGAAGCGCCGTCCGACCGCCGATGAAGTCGCGCCCGGCTATTTAGGAGATTAAGCACGGGAACGAAGATTAACGGCAGCTCCGGTCCGCGAAAGCCACGACGTGCACGTGCCCGAGTTTCGAGGAGGTCGTTGATTATTCCGCGATCGAACTACTTGAGCTAATGCGCGCTGCGTCGCCGGAAGTTGAAGTTACCCGCCCGAGAAGAAATTGTATCCCCGAAGGCCTCCTTCCTTTCTCCCGCTCTTTCGCATTTCCTCATTCTCCGTTCAGTCGTTCCACCGAGCCCGCGAGTTTTCGAAACGTTTTTTAACCTTGACTATAAATACTCCCAACACTCTTTAGCGGATTTTGAAACTTACAAAATGAACGTACAAAATGAAGTTCGATTTGAATTGTGCCTGGAGTCTGATAAACTTAATAATTTGTAAAAGACCACGAAATGCGCAGAAGCGCGATTTTTACAATATTTGCGTGATGTAGGCCTGAGGAACCTATGATGTTACTTCGGGTCTTTGGTCACTTTTGTCAAGAGGATCACGGGTGTATTCTCAGCCGTTGAACTGTTGCTACGAGAGAGAAATCGGATCGGGCGCACATTAAAACCCGTCACGGTGAGTTAGCATCGCCTGGAGTCCGAGGAATGCCGTGGAAGAATATACAGCGACGAATCCGCCGGGAAGAATTTATCGATCGCGCCGTCGTATATGCCGGAGAGATTGTAGTTGCTAATGCATTCTCTTCCCGCTCCCCTCGGAGCCGGGGGGTCCTTAAAAACTTCGGTAAATAAGTTAAGGGACTCGCTCGGAACGAGATTACGTCCCCGATGCTTCTATTGCGCGTTGAGTATTTAGGGAAAATCGTCGCTGCGGAATCGACCGAGAACGTAATCTCGCCGTTTTCGCCCATCTCGTCGCGCCTACATCGCTCTGTAACTTTCCATGGCGAACGGAAGTTGTCGTCGAATCTGTCGCAGATAAGGCGCAGATTAAAATTGCTAATTTAACCCGCTCGCTACTACTCGACAACTTTTCTTGCCGCGTTTAAGAAGTTCCCGTCGCGTCGCCTTCGCCACACGGCAATTAAGTGAATCTGCCTTACCGAAGAATTAGCATACTTAACACAATATCGTGCAGCTTCCCGAGGCGCGTCATTAGGAGCAAATTCGCGACCATCACGGCAATGATGTTTGAAGGATGAAACCGCGCGATCGAACCGTCACGACTCGGCGAAGCTCGCGTGGATGATGATGAAAACCATTCGTTATCATTAGGAAGTCGTTCATTGTTACGATTACTCTCGATCAACCTTTTCATAGAGAACGAAGGGGAGCGAAATTATTCGGGGACTCGCCTTTCCAGCGCTGGAAGAGGCGGTCCAATGTCGTAGAAATTCTCCGTCGGAAATTTCGAGGATCGGAGCACGAACGTGCGATAATGGAAATTCTCTCCAATGAAAATAGCGCGAAAAACTCGACCCCGGATAACCTCGTTACATCTTTCGATAATACGAACCTTTTGCGCGATAACAGAGCGGAAACCGGAATTTAAAACAGCGACCGCCGCCGCGCTTCGTGGCATGCGGAATACGCGGCAATC